ATTTCTTTATTAACAGAATGAAGTATTAATTCTTACTTTTAATACTGCTTATAGTAACATAAATTTTATTTTAGAATATATAATATACATAGAAATTATCACCGCTCTAGTTGTGTAACCAAGCTATCATATAACGATAAAAGTGAAATCATTTAAGGTTAGGTGCGTTGCATACCTCTATTCCTGGATATTTATAATTCATCTATATATACAGATTAAAACAATTTTTTGGGTATCTAAACATTTACCTAATACCCACACCACGTAAAGAAATTTTCTCACATTTTAACCGGATATTGGATTTGCCGATTTGGTGTAAACTATGGATGAAGACATACCTAGTCCTAGTGATGATGAACAAAGTAGATTTATTATTTCTTTTTGAGTGATATCTAGTTATTAATTTAAAAAAATTTTTTTTTATCTAAAAATAGAAGAACCATCACCAGTAAACTTAAAAAAATTAAAAAGAATATGTCAATATGAAGCAAAAAAAAAATTATTTCTTAAAATTGATCTTCAAAAAATCGAAATTTTCACTGATGATGGTCGTATTCATAATTACACTAACGACCATTCTAGAAAAGATTATATGGCATTTTTAGTAAAATATCAAAGGAATGAAGTATCTTTATGTTTGTTTGGATATAAACATGAAGTTGTAATTCCATGGCCAGAATTAAAGGGATTTAGAGTTGATCCAACATCTGGTGTTTTAAAAATTAAAGTGGATCATGGATTTTTGAGATTGGTATAAATTTAATTGAATAATTGTTGTGATCATATTTCTTTACTATTCTTCGCTAATAGGTTGTTTTATTTATTTACCGGTAAAGTATTATTTTCATAAAGATGGTTTTCCATATATGTTACCTCCTGTGACTATGGATAATGACCCTACTAATGGAATATTATCAAACGCTATTGGACTTTGTCTCTATCCTAAACCTTGGGAACACCCAAACACATTGATGGTTGCAGAGGCTGGTATAAATAGATTATGTTTTGTTGATATGAATAAGGAGAATGAATTACTAATAGTAAATGAAAATGATCAAGTATTTATTATTATGATTATTTATTAATGAAAATCAAGGTTAAAGTGGTTTTGATAACATGATGATTATTTGTAGGATGAATCTAATGCTTCCGATGACAAGGTAAAATATGTTCCTTATTATAGTAAACTTTATTTATAAAAAACTTTATATTTATTTTATTTTATTTTATTTTATTTTATTTTATTTTATTTTATTTTATTTTATTTATTTTATTTTATTTTATTTTATTTTATTTTATTTTAAATTTTAATTTTATATTTAGCAACAAGCGTTTCAGTAGAGTTAATTGCTTCTAAATTTTTCCAAGAGGAATAAACATATAAGAATTTTGGACCCTCAGAACAATTGGAGCTTGTATATGTTTAAAAAAGTAGAGAGTAAAGAATAATCATAATAAACCTTTTTGTTAAGTTTGCTTGTTTTATCGATGATCTTAATTTCATCACATTATTAACTACAATTGAATTTTTTTTCCTTGTTTTTTTTTTTTTTTTTGCAATCTAAACCAAAATTAACCGTTTTAGTCATAACTTTATCGCTGCATCAAGTGGTATCAAGTCTATTTATAATAACGCGATTATAGTTTTGTACAAGTCTCTAACCATATTCTACCTTTTCAATAACTTATTATTATGTTAAATGAGTATGTCAAATCACATCACACAAAAACGATATAAATTTTTTATTTATTTTTTAGAGTGGGCAAGAAAAATATTTTTGAATTACTTGCACAAACAAAAAAATTCTAAATTTTTATATTGAATTATTTCTGATTTTAAAAACATAAAATACTCTAATGTGTTAAAAAAATCTTAAACACCTCGCTTTTTTCATTTTTAAATTTTCCCATTTTAAGATAAATATTTTTTGCAATCTTCCAATCCTCTTCAGTTGCAATACTAATTTTTTCATCACTTTTCCCGTCACAATACTCAATCCATTCTGGCGAAAATCCAAATTGTTGATTTACTAATGTCAAGAAATCGGATAATGTACCATTGAGAGGGAATGTTAAGTTATGTAATTGGGATGCAAAAATACATTGGAGAGAGATCTTTTTAAATAAATAAATAAAATAAAATAAATAAAATAAAA